CCATGGTCTGGAAACCAGGGGTCAGACAGAAGTGCCTTTGCTTGACACCGCCTGGCCAGTTTGTGGCTGAGGCAGATCTTATGAGCCAGCCTTGCTCTCACGAAGCCTCAGGAATTACTCCAGCAGCAAGTGCCTAACTTCCTGCTTTCAGTGGGGCCCTCACATGTATCCCCACCTGTATTAGTGCACCATTGGGGCATAACAAATAGCCACACACTTAATGATTTAGAACAACACCCCTTTACTATTTCACATATGACTAGATAGGTAACTGAACAGAAAAGAACAGAATATGAAGTTTAGAAATAGACCCAAATTCAGTATATGATAGTGGGGAAAAGATGGATTATTTCATAAAAGATGTTGAACAACTTGCTAGCTATCTGGAAAAAAAAAATGGATCAAAATTTCAGGAGAAAATTAAACCATAGAGGTACCAGGCCTGGGAAGCATGAGATATGTATATTTTTAAAACTAAATCCAATGTGAAAAAGGCTTTTTATGTAAAAAGGCAGTTATAAAACATGGCCCCCCAATTTTTCCATACTATTCCTATCAAGAGGTGGGTTGTCCCTTCCCAGAATCTGGGCTGTGTGACCAATAGAATATGGCAGAAGTAATAGAGCAGTGTTTCCAGGCTCAGACCGAAACAGCCTGATAGTTTCTCCCTTTCTGTCTCTTGGAATGGCCAAGGCTCCAGGCTGTGAGGAAGTCCAGGCCACGTGCAGAGGTCCTATGTGGATGCTCAGGCCAGCAGCCCCGCCGAGGGCTCAGCTGTCAGCCAGCATCGGCGACCAGGCCTAAGTAAAGAAGCCTTCTGCTGACTTCAGCCCAACCACCATCAGACTACACGACATGAAAGAGCCTGAATGGGAAGCTCTAGCTGAGCCCAGGTAACCTCCAGAACTGTAAGAAATAACACTAAAATGACTGTTTTATTCCCTCCTGCCCCATAGTGCTTTAAGCCACTATGTTTGGGGATAATTCACTATGCAGCAATAGGTAGCTGATGATACCCTATGTGTGACAAAACCTAGAAGCCATAGAATAAAAAACTTCTGCATTAAAAATAATTAACAAAATCATAAGACAACAAACTGGGGAAAGACCATATTTGCAACTCCTATTATAGACAAAGGGCTAAATTCCTCAATAGCACCTAGAAATCACTAAGACCAAGATACCCAGCTCATCTGAATAGGCAAAGGGTATCAAGAGATAGTTCATAGAAAAGGAAATGGTTCTTACTCAGGACCTTCAGATTATGAGACTGATGCACTGCCTACTGTGCTAAGGAAGCAACTGGAAATGGTTCTTAAATATATGAAAAGTGCTCAACTTGGCTCAAAAGAAGACTGTAAATTAAAATTACAGTAAGTAACATTAAGAAAAAGAGTACACTGGAGAAATAGGTGCTTTCATACATTACGGGTAAGAGTAGAAATGGACCAACTTCCATGAAAAGTATTTTATTGGTATCTGTCATAATTTATAGTGTACATATTTTTTGGATCCAGCAGTTCTATTTCTGGGATTTATCTTACAGCTGGATTCACATACATGGCAAAATGACAAATGCCAAGGTTCTTTACTATGACATTGTAATAGTAAAAGATGGGAAACAACCTTAATGTCCATTAATAGGGGACCATTCATTTATGGTTCCCTCCTGCAGTGAAATACTCTTCATCAGTGACAAGAATGAATGAAGCCCCTCATTGTGTACTGATTCCCAAGATACACTGTTCAGTGGGAAGACAGACTGCTGCAAAGTATATATGCTGCCATTTAGGTACAGGTGAATGAATATTCTATAGAGAGTACACATCTCTGGGAAGATGTGACTGCCTCTGGGGAGAGGACCTCAGTGGGGGACGGGTAGAAAAGAAACAATTTCACCTTATACCCTTGTATACCTTCAGAAATTTGTATCTTGTGCATTTCTGATATATTCCAAAAATAAAGAAAACACTCATTTGAAAAAAGTAGTTGAATAACCAATTAACCAATTGGAAAAACAGTCAAGAGAGCCCCACTTCAAACCAAATATGCAAAATGTTCCAAATGGATTCAAGATTTAAATGTAAAAATGAAATTATAAATGTCCTACAACTGTCATTCTGAAATGTGTGCATTCTAAATTTCAGTCTCCCTGATGGAGCTGTGACCCCGCCCCTCAGCCTCTGGAGTGTGTCCCAGGCTGCCCTTCCATGCTGATGACTCTGGGATTGCAGTCCTGTGCCTACCTCTTAACGACCATCAAATGCCACCTCTCTCCTGGGCTTTTCCATGTGAGCATCCCCCAGCACCTGGAACTCAACCTCTTTTCCCCTCATCCTCCCCAACACCTGCACCCCCTCCTGCATATCCATCAAAGTGACAGCCACCTCCAAGAGTTCCCCCAAGCCAATACCTGAGAAGTAGCTCCTCACGTGCCTCCTTTACCTTCTGTTATGGACTGAGTGTTAATTTACCCCCAGATTCACATATTGAAATTCTAATCCCCAGTGTGATGGTATTAGGAGTGAGGCCTTTGGGAGTGTGGAGCCTGAATGAATGGGATTAGTACCCTTGTAAGAGAGACTCCAAAAGCACCCTTGCTCCCTCTGCAGTGTGAGGACGCGGTGAGAAGACAGCCATCTGCGAACCGGGAGGCAGGCTCTCATCAGACACCAGATGTGTCTGTACCTTGATTTTGGATTTCCAGCCTCCAGAACTATGAGATAAAAACGTTCGTTGCTTAAGCCCCCAGGTCTAAGGTATTTTTGTTACAGCAGCCCAAACGGACCAAGACAGCTTCCCCACTTCCACAGCGCTTGCACGCTGGTAAATAGCTTGGGTCTGGAGTCTGGTTACCAGAACTTGAATCGAAGCTCAGCTGCCTCATCTCTGAAGTGGGGAGAATAACAGTACACCTTATAGAGTGAAGAGACGTTTAAATTAGTGAGTTACCATGTTACAGTTCTTAGGACAGTGCCTGGAACTTATTAAGATTCCATAAGTATTAGCTACTTATTAGATTATTAGTTTTACCCAGTGAAGCCAGGTCAGGCCTCCAATCCTGGTCCAGTCCAGATCTTTCCTCTCCCTACCATTTCACTGAATTAGTCCTCCAGAGCCCTCTGCTGGCTTCGTGGTCTGGCTCATGCCCACCACCCAACAGCACCTACTGGGTGCTAGCTAGGTGCTTTACCTTGGGGGAGGGGCCCATTACTGTGTCATGCCCCCTCCTGCCCCTGGCATAGAGGCTTGCCCAGGTTATTGCCTGTCTTGGTGTGTAGGAGGAGCGGGGCTCAGATATTCACCATTAATTAACAGAGAATGGAGCCACATGGCCATTCTGTCCCCAAGAGGGCCTGGCCTGGAGACAGAAAAACACCTTGTTGTGTCAATATTTGAAGTATTTAAAAACTTGTCCCTGAGGTGGCCTAGCAGCGCGGATGGTGGTCTGTAGGTAAGACATTTGTTAATGTTGCTTAGGAGAAGGAGATCCAGGTGGCCTGGGAAGCCAGCTCTGGCCTCTCCAGAGTCACTGTGTGACTCCAAGCTGGAGATGTTACCTCCCTCTGCCCATCTGTTGTCTGTCTGGGCCCTGAGGGGGCAGAATGAATTCAGATGAAATCAGCAGAGGAGAGACTGCCAGGCAGGGCTTTTGCCCTCTGGGTGCTCCCAGGCCTGGGGCCCTTCCACTTGGCCTGAGTCTAACTTCAGCATCTGCATCTTTGACCAGTTGCTGGCTGGGGGGAGGGGGGAGGGAAACAGTGACCTGGGTGTGGGTTTCCTTGGATGTGTTACTACTTGTCAAGCACCCATTACATGTGTTACATGCTGTGGTCACATGTTGCACTATATACATAGTTCATCCTCTCATCAAGTCATGAGGCAGGTACTACTATTATCCCCCTTATACAGATGAAGAAACTGAGGCACACAGAAGTTTAATGATTTGTCATTAGTGGGTGGCAGAGCTGGGACTTAGATCCAGGCAGGCTGGCTGCAGAGCCTGAATGCTTCACCTCTCCCCTCCACTGCCTCAGCACTTGATGAACACCTAACAAAGCCCAGGGCCCATGCAAACGTTGCTTGCTTAATAGTGGCAATAACCTCTAAAGGCAAGTGCTCATAACCCCATTTTGTAGCTGAATAAACTGAGGGCAGGCAGATGATGAGCATGGACCAAGACCATGCAGCTTGTAAGTGACTGAGCTAGGATTCAGACCCAGGTACATCTGACTGCAGACCCCCGGGCTGCTCACGACCCATGGCCCCATGCAGCACCTTGGCCATGGCCCTGTGCACTATCTGCCTCAAGCCAGTCAACAGGGGTCCAGCAAGCCAGGTGGCCCACAACCAATGGAACTCCGCCTCACAACTGTACACTTCACATGGGGAAATGTATCAGGTATTAAACAGCCATTCCTGATTCAGATTGCCCTGGTCCAGCATCCAGGGAGTGTGCATAAGCCATAGGCCAGGCTCAGAGCCCCGTCTGTGACCAAAGGCCCCTGCCTGGAACAGTGTAACCAGGATGGAACAAGCCTAGAGAGGAAGGACAGGGCACTCAGGCCCTGGGAATGGGGATAGGGATGGCCCTCCCCCAGCAGACACACTCTGACAGTTGTAGACGCCCTGACATCCACACACACTCCCACAGGATTCTCCCCGGATGCCCCTTTACCCACCCCAACCCCAGACTCGCCTGCCAGGCCCCAAGCCTCTGGGAGAGTGGATGCCCTGAGGGAGGCCCCGAAGGGCCGACAGCCAAGGCGAGAGCTGAACCAGCTCCCGTTCCATTAGGGCTTGATGACACACAGCTGAACAAGGCGCACACTCTGGGCCCCATAGCTACTCCCCACACAAAGGCACCGTCACGTCACTCCCTGAACACGCACAGGTCCCGCACTGCTGCAACTCCGCGCGCCCGCGGTGAGGCCCACCCACGCCCCGCCCACAGCCCCGCGCACAGCCCACCTCCGGCCCCGCCCCCTCGAGGCCCCGCCCCCCGCCGCGGACTGCTTCCGGCTGCCCTCCCCGGGTCGGAGTCCAGCGGCTGCAGGGCGGATGAGACCAGTGCGACTCATGAAGGTGTTCGTTACCCGTAGGATCCCCCCCGAGGGCAGGGCCGCGCTTGCCCGGGCCACAGAGTAAGAGTCCGGCGTCCCCGCGCCGCTCGGCGCGCCGAGTACCCCCAACCCCGGGCGCGGGCCGAGGTTGGTTTCGGGAGAAAGGGCTACGGAGCCCCGGACTCTCCCCGGGGTCTTGGGCACCCTTGCACACAGGGTGACTCAGCGTCCCCAGGCGCGCCTTTGGGGGCAACCGCGCCTGCTCCTGGGCTGTCTGGGGGCGGCTTCCAGAGGCCCTAGTTATTTTTGGTTGGCAGGACAAGGGGGAGAGCCGGGACCCTGCTCTTGGGCCCGGGCTGGTTTCCAGCCTCTGCCTGTATGGGACGGCCTGGAAGTTTTTAGAAGCTTAGAGAGAGTTCTCTGGGGTCCAGCATTCTCCAGGCCTATTGCAGTGACGCTGGGACCCGCAACTGTTGAGGCCCTTGCAGAGCGGGTGAGGGGAATGGGCTGGAGACCTTCCCAGTCGTTGGTCTGGGAAGAGGGACTGCGATGATGCAAGGGCCAGGTTGTTAAGCCTTGACCCTCCGAGGTCACTTTTGGGGGTCAGGGACCTTGGCAGTCACAGGCCTGGCCTTTTGGACAGATGGCAGGAACTTTTGTATCCCTTACTAAATTAAATCTTGCATTCTAGCCTTGCCAGGTGCTTCAAACATATATACTCTTGTAATTCTTGCAACATTGTGAAATTGGTACCGTAATTAACCATTTTACAAATGAGAAAATTGAGACAGTTTGAGTACCTTGCCCAAAGTCTCACAGCTGTGTGTGGCAGAGCTGGGGTTTGAACTAAGCTCTGCCTTATACAGATCTGCACTGCCAATGTCAGGCTGGGAGAAGGTGGAACCCAGCCTTAGAAATCCGTGCTAGGGGAAAATGAGATTTATTTACATCATTCAATGCAACAAAACCTTTTCTGAGGGCCTGTTTTTTCCCAAGCATTGAGGGGAATGTGAGGGAAGGCAGAAACAAGCGTATTAAGCTCAGGCTGCTTTAGGGCTGTGTGCCACCCTGTGCCTGGGGCTAGGTCAGTGAGGTGCTGCCGCTGAGCATTCTGAAAGGTGCCAGCAGTGGTCCTGTGTTTTGCCATACATGTTGGCAGCACTGAACTAAATGGCAGGGGCTGGGTGGCGCCAGTGGAAAGGTGTCCAGTGTCCACAGACTGCCACAGAAGTGCACCTCCAAGCACCCCTCCTGGTCCTTCCTTTTGATCCTGTCCTTCCTGACTGAGTACAGATAGGATGGTTTTCCATTTCATGGACTCATAGGACGGGACATGCATCCGGGCATGGAGCAGGAACTGCCCCCACTCCCCAGATGGCCTTGCCGACAGGTGGCCTCCTAGGGCCAGGGAGCTGGCTGCCTGTGGGCCTCCTGTGAGGGTGGAAGATGGCTTCATTGCATTGAGCTGACAGCTGCCCCCATGACTTTCTTCTTTCATTTTAGGCTCGTCAGCTCTTGGTGAGCTGTGCTCTGTGACAGCCCTTAACCTTTCAGCCACCCCCTCAGGACAGTTCTGAGGCTGCCCATGCATGGCCCTGATTCCCCTCAGCCCGCCCCAGGCAGCCTGAGGCCAGAGCAAGTAAAAGGCACTGTTTCCCACTCTGAGAGGGGCGTGTGGGTTTGGCTGGGGGTTTTCTGAGGGCGTCTGTGGGGCTCCCCTGCTTCTGAGTGGTCTTTCTTTTGTCTTCAGCTGTGAGGTGGAAGACTGGGATTCAGATGAACCCATCCCTGACAAGGAGCTGGAGCGAGGTGTGGCTGGGGCCCACGGCCTGCTTTGCCTCCTGTCTGACCGCATAGACAAGAGGCTCCTGGACGCTGCAGGTGTGCGCCCTGGGCAGGGCTGGGGAGGATTCCGGTGTGTCTCGGCCCTGTGCTGCTGCTGGCTGCTGGAGCAGGTCTGCAGTGACTTTTCTCAGTTCTGAGGGCATTCGCTGCAGTAGAGAGGGAGCAGTTTTGTGTAGGTCCATATGGCTGTGAACCCCTAATGGGAGGCCCTAGGAGGGTAAAGACGACAGCATGAAGGCAGCCACGTGTGTGGGGAGCACCCCAGGCCCCGGGCCCTCTGTGCAGCCTTGCCACAGCCATGTTTTATGACCTGGAGCAAGGCCCTGCCTCTTGTGGACTCATTGGTAGCATGTTGGAGGGCCTGCTTCAGTTCGGGGCCTAGCACCAGCGGGCACCCAGGGTATGTCAGCACCACCCCAGCCCTGAGCCAGGGTAAACATCGCACTGAGAGGTTGTTTTAAGGAAACGTTCAGACTCAGAGGCTGCTGAATGGGGCAGGTGGGGGGGTGCTCATGCATCAGTGCTGAGCCACCCCCTGCCCCAACCTTGGCCCTGGAACCTTCTGGTGCACTGCCTGGTAGGAAAGGTATGGGATGGTTATTCCCCAGTTGCCTTGTCAGCAGATGCCTCTCAGAGATGTCCGTAGGAGGGCCCCAGGTATGGTCAAAGGAGACCAGAGACCTTAGTGGGTGGACAGTCTAGTTTGGAACAGGATAGTTCTGGATTTTAATTGAGAAACAGATGTGAGACTTTCCTCTTAGTCTATGAAAATAATAAACAATGTCCCTATGATGGTCCCCATTGTTGTGGCTTTGAGTACCATGGGGAAAGATGCAAACAATGCTTTTTCTGTACAACAGGAACCAATCTCAAAGTAATCAGCACACTGTCCGTGGGTGTTGACCACTTGGCTTTGGATGAAATCAAGAAACGGTAAATGCAGCTTGGCCTGTGGAAGAGAGCCTGGAGTGAGGGGCAACTACCAGGGGGGAAAAGAGTAGCTGAGTATTTATTTTTACTTCCTATCCTTTGACCTTTCAGTGAGAATGTGAGGTGGCTGATGATAAAATCTGTCTACTAGTGCACAGCTCAGTTAAAATAAGCCTGAGAAGTCAGAAGCAGTGGGTAGCATCTGTGCCAGTAGTACCTTTCATATTCATTATCTTTTTTGATCCTCACAACAATCCCTTGAAGGAGAAAGGCAAGTATTATATTCCACTTTAGACGAGGAAATTCAGAAAGGTCAAGTAGTTACTTGCCCCACTTTGGACCCTGATCTTCTATCTTCATATCCTTCCCAAGTGGGAGATCATTGAAACAGGAATGAGGGTTGGCTGTTCCCGAGTACCCATTCACTCAGCTTCCCAGCAGGCCGCGCAAGGAGGGAGCAGTCAGCATCCTGGAAATGTCCTTGCAGTAGAACTTGGTGAAGGTGTTACCACCAGATGTTTGGTTCATAGTGGGATCCGTGTGGGCTACACCCCAGATGTCCTGACAGATGCCACAGCAGAACTCGCTGTCTCCCTGCTGCTCACCACCTCTCGCCGGTTGCCAGAGGCCATCGCAGAAGTGAAGAAGTGAGTGAATCCCTGGCAGGGAAGTCAGCTCTGTTGAGCAGCTGGTTCCTGAGCACCCAGGTCACCCTGGTCTGGATCTGATCCCTGTCCCTGGGTGTGCCTGAACTAGTGAGGGAGAGACAGACTCAGCCAAAATGTTCTATTTTACAAGGTAGAGCTGAAATAAATGGGCATGAAGGGGAAAAGTGATACAAGGATAAGGGAGGGACAAAGAAATTCTGCCCAGCTGATGAAGAGGTGGGAGAGGAGTGCGGGCCAGGGAAGGCTTCACAGGAGCAGCAGCAGGCGGGTGTCCTCTTGAGCACTTGGACGTCCATCACCCTCACTCACTTTTTGGATGTAGAAATCCAAAAAGCTCTGAAAACTGAAGGTTGCTTCATAAGTCTTTGGGTAGCAAAAACTGAGCAGAAATAACAGACTATTTGTAGTTTTCTTTCTTTTACTCCGTGTAACTGTTCATACGTTTTGCTGCCAATATGTCTGTGTATTTGTACAGGGTACCGTCCCAGATGCTGCTAAGAGTGTTATGTACAATATAGCGTATACTCCATACCACCTTGCTAATCGGAGAATTTTAAAAGTGTGGCTTGAGGGTTTCAGATGAGGGATTTAGGTCTGTGTATCCAAAGTTGGGGTAGGCATTCCAGGTGCAGGGCTGGCCTCTGCAAAGGCTGGGAGGCACGCAAATGCAGGTCCTCAGAATGTGGACAAGGAGCAAGGGCCGAGGCTAGACAGCAGCATGGGGCTGAATGTCCTGCTCACCCTCCTGTCTGGGGAGTTGGCATCGTCACTGGAGGTGGCTCAGGTCGGGGCTCTGTTCCCCTGCCTGCCCCAGGACAACAGGGGTGGGCCAGTGGCTTTGCCTTTCATTGCGTCTCTGGGGTGCTGAGAATAGTGGTTTTGGCATTGCAAATCCGGGCTCGCAGCCTCTGCTCCCAACTCTGCCCTGGCTGTATGACCTCAGGCAGGGCCACCCTTTCTGTTCTCAGTTTATCTGCAAAATGGGATAAGACCTTCGAAGGCCCCTTCCTGCCCTTGGATTCTGTGTCCCCACTGGCTTTAAAGGAGGTCATTCCTGCTGCTTACCTGCAGTGCTGAGCAGCTGTAACTCATGCCATTCCCCGTCGTTTGACTGGAGGGCTGGGTCAACCCCTGGACCATAGCCCCTTTCTGGGGTTGCTGGGTCTGTGAGTTTGCGATGGACCCTCATTGCCTGAAGCAGAGCCTCTCACCCACCCCTCTCCCTGCCCAGTGGCGGCTGGACCTCATGGAAGCCCCTGTGGATGTGTGGCTATGGACTCACACAGAGCACCGTTGGCATCATTGGCCTGGGGCGTATAGGTAAGGCTCCTGTCTGCCCACTTGCCTACCCCAGATTTCATGGCCTGGTTTCCATCTCTGACACCATGTGTCTGGACCCTGATAATCCTCCTTTGGAAGGGCTGCCATAACTGTGTCATCAGTGCCCTTTGCACACAGTTAGGGTATCTCTAACGTGAAGACACAACTTCATAAAACACAGCACCGAAAAAAAAAAAAAATCAGGAGCTCCTTTAGAAGTCACTAGGTCACAGAAGCAAGTCATAAGAGCCAGGATTCTTTGTGATTACTGCTCCGTACAGAAGAGGTGAAGGTGACTGGCTGGGTTGGGGCCTGCAGGAGGGGTTTACTGTAGGAGAGCCCAAGGGCTTCTGGGCTTGGGTTCTGGAAGACATTCGCTGAAAGACCCGAACTCAGGAACTAGAGGAACCTGTGATTCTGCAGATGGGCAGAGCTATTTTTCTCCTAGTAGCTCCTGTTTGGAGATCTGGTGTAAAGGCTTCTGCTCACTGGGCAGCTGTCTGTGGTTCTCTGGCATCCTGCTTGGTGCAGAGGTAGGACTGAGGATGGAGACTGGATTATCTGTCTGGCCAGCTAGCACCCCTGCCTCTCATACTGGACAGCTGCTCACACCAGCTTTGGGGCTTGTTCTGCGTCTGAAACCCAAGTGCTCAAGCTTGTCTCAGCAGCACATGTGAAAAGGTCTTACAGATTTAGGGCAAGTTGGCAGTTTGGCAATGCCACCAGAAAGTCAAATGAGGTTTGGGGCTGCATTAACGGGACCATGTGAGGGCAGCATAAGCTTCTCACAGCCGCAGGAGCTGCAGTGCTTCCTGCACGTTTTCTGAAGGGCTGTCACAGCAAGGGCTTCTTCCCTGAGGGCAGTGTGGCTGGGCGGGGGCTGGCTGCACTGGGCACGACCAGTTCATGTTGGGACTGTGCTGACGAAAGGGTCTGCCCCATGAGGGGCTCCCTGTCCCTGGAGTTGCCGGGTGCTGCCCCTCCCATCTCAGGTTGAGAACAAGCTGTGACCCTGACTCCTTGTCTCCAGGCCAAGCCATTGCTCGGCGCCTGAAACCATTCGGAGTACATAGATTTCTGTATACAGGGCGCCAACCCAGGCCTCAGGAAGCAGCAGAATTCCAGGCAGCATTTGGTAAGTAAAGCCCTCATTCCCACAGGAACCCCCCCGTGCTCAGAGGGTCTCTGTTTTCTGTAATGGCAGCATTTGCAGACAGAATGCAGGAGCTCCGGGGGTGTCTGGGGTCTGCTGTGTCCCTGAGCTGTTTGTTACCTAATCTCCCAGCCCCTGGACACAGGCCCCCTCAGGGAGCACAGGGACTTACCTAGCCATGCGGTGAGTTCACTCCAGGGCTCCTGTCTCTGAAAATCCCTTGTCACCACCGTCCATGTATGGACAGGGCAGCAGGGATGGTGACAGACATAAGGAATTGCTGAGAGCTTTACTCTCAGTTTCCTTAAACTGGTGAGCGCTGCCCCCCACCCCACCCTGTTCCCAGGTGGATTCAGGGTCCTGGCAATATGCTTAACCTTGCGAGCAGAGGGCAGGTGGATTCCAGCCATTCCTCACTTGCTTGGCGCATTGGGCCCTGAAAGTGGTGAAGCCCAGAGTGGGTGTGACCTTCAACAAGCTCCTCCTCTCATTGGCCTCAGTGTCCCGATCTGTTAGACCAGGGGGCTGGATGAATGACGTACACCAGGCTCCCACAAGTGGCTGCTGACTTTGTACAGTTATCCAAGTTGTCCAGGTAGAAACAAAACCTTCAGGAAGCATTTTAGAGGTTTCCATTATGGGAGGAGGAGGAGGGAACCGTCTTGTCTCCTACCTTCTTGCTGTGCCTGCCATGGGCTCAGCATCTGATGGAACCCTGCCCTCCCCCAGTGTCTGCCCCCCAGCTGGCCGCTGAGTCTGATTTCATCATTGTGGCCTGCTCCTTAACACCTGCAACCAAGGGGCTCTGCAACAAGGGCTTCTTCCAGCAGATGAAGAAAACAGCTGTGTTTGTCAACATCAGCAGGTAGCCCAGGGTCACGTACCTTCCCTGGGTCACTGGGCAAGTTTAGAGAGGGGGCTGTGCCTGCTGCTGTGATCTGAGGTTTTTCTTCCCCATGGTTGTTTCTGATACCTCACACTGAGCTTGCCACTTTCCATAAACTCAGAAATACAGTAAAGGCATGAGACAGCATCCCAGACTGGGAAAAGCTATTAGAGCAGGGCATGGCTGTCTGGTTCCCAGCAGTACCCTGAGCCTTGCTTGGGCCGGGCACATAGTAGTGGTGAGTCTGGGAGTGAGTTACCAGGTAGCTTTGGGCAGTCCTGTCCCTCTATTCCACAGAGTGTTGGACTTAGCGACCTTACCAGCCCTTCAGAGGCCAGCCTGCCATTGTGCTGAGCCTGGGTGTGTCTGTGTGTCAGTGACAGCTTGAATCTTCATGTTCTTAGGAAGACACCCAAAATCCAGGTGTCCTGGTTCATCCAACAGTCCTCAGGGAGCCTTCAGGCCAGTGTGCATATTATGGGGGCAGACCTTCCCTGTCTGCCACTCCAAGCCCTTCCTGATTTAAGCTGGTGTCCTTTGAACCAGCATAAATCAGCTTGGGAGCAAACAGAGGTGAGGGAAGGGATTGGATGAGGTCACCCCGAGGGCTCTCCACCCTGGAGGCATCTGTAATTACTAATGTTCAGCTACAGAGGTGACTCTGAGGTGGAGTGAACATGTGGGAACACAGGGCACACGCTGATGGTCTCCGTGTGCTGAGCACCCACACGACCCGGTACTACATGGCGTGCTGCAGTACTGCTTAGGCATGAGCGTTCCCAGTGCATAAGGTAAAGTCTCCAGCAAATCAGTTCTCACTTCAGTGACCTTCAGTCGTGGGAAGGCAGGCTGCTCACCCGGACGTGGTGAGGTGTGTCCTGTGCCCCATTAGGCAGATGCCTGGTGGTGTGCTGCAGTGGGTCTCAGTGGGTTGTCTGGGGAACAGCCCGATCAGAAACACCTGGACAGGACCCCACACAATTGAGGCTCTGCACCCTGTTCGTGCAGTGGGGCGTCAGGAAGTGTTTGTCCTCAGCACCCCTCGGAGCTTAGCAGTATTCTCCCTGTCTTACAGGGGAGAACCCGAAGCACAGAGTTTGAGACACTTCCTAGGGTCATGCAGCTGAAGTACTGGGCTGGGGCTCTCTGACCGTAAGATCTAGTGTAGGAAAGCACACTGCAAGCTTACTGCTGTGGAGTCAGTGGGGAAGTTCACTCTCGGTTGTTCTGCCCTAAGGGAGGCTGGGTGGAGGAAGCTTTGAGGCACCCACATCATCGCTGTCATCCCCAGGGGAGACGTGGTAGACCAGGAGGACCTGTACCAGGCCTTGGCCAGTGGTCAGATTGCTGCTGCCGGACTGGATGTGACAACCCCAGAACCACTGCCTGCAAGCCACCCTCTCCTGACCCTGAAGAACTGTGGTAAGAGCTGTGCTTTTCCAGTGCCAAGTCCCATAGCACCTTCACAGGTAGAAGTGGTCTGGGGGTACTGGGTACAAACACAAAGGGACACACCAGGGACCACCCATGTTTATGCTCTTAGTGACACTGGTAGTGATTCTGAGCATGCTCACTAGGTCTGTGTCCCTAGAGGAGCAAATGTAGTTTCAGGGAGTTGATTTGTTTAAAAAGAGGGGGTTGATTGCCTGTCTCATAGCCATTGCTAGTCATGGGTGAAACCTATTACTATAAATTGCCATTATCAGTTTAAGTGTGGGAAATTAAAAGTATAATTACAATATCAGTGTTTGTAACTTGTGCCAGTTAATAAGCTATTGTCTCATGGCTCTGAATCCACCCTTGCCTGTTTTGCTTTGTGATGCTGGAGCTGGGACTCTGCACATCCCACTTCTGGGCTCTGTCAGTGTGGACGCCAGAGGCAGCAGGACCTGGCCCCCGCCTTCTTCCTGTCTGTCCATGTCTGAGTGGCACACGGCTTACTTCTTTCCTGGACTGGCTGGTGAATCTGGCTTGCAGCTTCCCAGCACTTGGTTACCCACTGTGTCCCCTCAGAGATGCAAGCCACAGCGCCAGCACCCCAGCCAGAGGCAGCCCCAGAGGGGCCCGTCCTCAGTCTCCTAAGGCTCAGTGATCCCACCCTTTTCCCTGTGTCTCCCCAGCCCTAGGGAGGTGGATGCTTCCCGCAGTCTGTCTCTGTGATACTCAGTTCAGTGGTTCTCAAACTCCTGTGTTCATTAGTCACCTGGAGGGACTGGCCCCCAGAGGCTTCTGCTTCAGTAGGTCTGGGTAGGACCTGAGAATGTGCACGTCTAACCTGTGTACACATGCTACTGGGTCTGGGAGCATATGAGAAGCGTTCTCTTAGCCTTCTCAGTTAACCTGGTTAACTTTATACCTAGTTAATAGCTACATTAAGTTCTCTCTGTTGAGGTAGCTGGTGTGGTTTGCTCCAGACTAATACATAACTGTGAGAGGAAGGGCTTAGGTTGTCTGGACCAGCCCTTGTCCTTTACTCACCTTCTGGAACGGGAACCCGGAGGTCCTTGGCTGCTTTCCCCACAGTGAATGCTCCCATTTTTGTAGCCCTTAGAAACTCTACTGTCCCCACCCCCCACACCAGGTTGGAATGAACACTGGCTGTGATGTCCAGGTTGTTGCCCACAGCTGAGAAAACTGTCCCATCCCCCCAGGCCTGGGGGTTCAGCTCAGTGCTCTGGGTACTGCCTTTGAAAGGCGTTCTCTGAGGACAGGTTACCTCACTTGCTCTGCAGTGGAGCCAGGAGCTGTGCTGTCCAGCATTTCATCATGTAGTTATTTCCATAGATCAAAAGCTCTGGGGCCTCACTTTCAAGGGTGCAGGGTGCGGATATCAGGGTTGAAGCGCCTAAGCTATAATGGCACCTAGTTTCACAGTCTGATGTCAGAAGCGCTGGGTCTAGATCGGCTCTGAGACCCCTTCCAGCCTGTACATTCTCAGATTTTGGATGTGGATCTCATCACCCTTGCTCAGGGTTTCAGTAGCCCGGAGTCCCAGTACTTTGTTACCTGCTCCTCAGCCCCAGGGAAGTGTAGTAATTAGTGACAGTAAAAGGGAAGGTAACTCAATGAATATTGAGGCAGGTTCTCTTTGTTCCTCTTACTGGCAACTACTAGCCATGAAGATGGTCCACTTTAAGTCTCCTGAACCACACTTCTTACCTCCCTCCCCTCTCCTTTCTAGTGATCTTGCCCCACATTGGCAGTGCCACCCATGGAACCCGAAACACCATGTCCCTGTTAGCAGCTAACAACTTGCTGGCGGGCCTGAGAGGAGAGCTGATGCCCAGTGAATTCAAGCTGTAGCCAGACAGCAGATGTGGAGGGCCAGGCAGCAACCAGCACCCCTGGACTCTGTGGGATGCACCCCGGATTGACAGAAGCCGGGCAGGAAGGCCGATCTATGCTGATATTATGGAAGAAGGCTGGTGCTGATAGATAGGCTTGCCACTCTGTGGTTGGAAACATCTGAGCCAAAAACATGTAATTCCATTAAATAATTCTCTCGCAGACTGTCTGGGCCTGTAACTGGGAGACGCTCATGAGCAGAGCATCTGCTTAACTTTTCTAAGTCAGGGCACCTAGCGGCGACCTGCAGGCTCTGCTCTCCCGCCAGTCTTCACTGCCTTGCATTTCATTACTAGAACCTGGCCAAGCTACCTCACTCCTCCGCTGGTAAGATTCCTGCACTTGTCCCTCACTAAGGACAGGACACCCATAGCCTAGTGGTGACCATGCCACCTAAGTCTGCTACCTAGACCATCAGGCAAATTAGATGCACAGGGCGAAGAAAACTAGGTAAGGTCATACTACTATTATTTTTTTGGTCAAGAATAGTTGAAGATAGGTGGTTTTCTTCATTTTTATTTTAAAATTAGTTTCAACACCTTCACACTTTGCACCCTTGTCCACCTCCTCCTCCACCCCCAACCCCCCCCGGCAGATGCTGTCCAATCACCACCTCACTCCCTCCTTTCCAAGGCCAGGCCAGCATCGCCAATGCTTCTGCTGCTGGGATCAGGTTCCAGCTCTCCCACAGCCAAGCTAAACCAGCAGGTGGACCTCCTGGCCCAGGAGGCAGGTAAGGGAGCAGCAGGAATGTAAGGTTACACGGGCCTTCTGAGAGTAAACCTGGGTGGAGGAGAACAAATCTTCATGCATATCTATGGCTCAAAGATAGAGTGCAGGGATAGTCGAAGGGGCTACAAACAATAACTGTTATTAATGGACAGCATTAGAGTATTTTCTAGGAGGCTTGGTTTAAAAATAGTACTGGTCAGTTAGGGTTAGCAGAGAAAGCAGTATGATTTCCCTTTCTTGTGTCAATCTTAGTAACCTAGGTGAAGAAAAAATGCATATTTAGTTGGACACATGAAGGTGACAAATTCTTTATTAAAAAATTTCAGATTTTGACCAGCATAGCACCACTGACATGGGTGCCTTGATAGAACTTTATGATTTGATCACTAGAAATGATTATGCCAGGCTGTAATTAAGGCTAACCAATCAAAATCTAGGTACCCAATACCAGTTGTAATTCAGGTAGAAACTACAGATCACAGGACCCTGGGACTGGTTTTCCAGGGAACTTCTGAATAATTTTTTAAATGCTACAGCATGTATGAGGACACTGGCCTGCAAGCTTGCTCCTCACATGGAGAAACTGATTGATTGACTAAGAGGTAGATGAGAGATTCTAGATTCCATCTAGCAGTGGAGAGGCAGGGCTCCAGCCACTGTATCAGAGAGAGGCTCCAGCAAAGTCCATTTAAGTCTGAGCGGATAGGAGGGGGCAGCCTCCCAGTACCTCCTCAAGACAAAGGGAGATGTCCCTGGGCCCAGGCAGGGTCTCCCTGGGCCCAGGCAGGGCCTCTCTCGTGCTCCACATTGACCCACCTGCCTCCAAAGTTTAATCTCCTCCCCAGACATCGGTCCCCACATCACGTACAGGGTGGATGTACAGCCGCCTCACATCAAGTCAGAACGTGACTGCTAACAATTAGCCAGATGACTGAACTTCACAGGTGATCCCTATCTTCCAACAGTCTGTTTCCCACCTTTGCTGGAAAGGAGAGGAATCAGAAATTGCCCTTTTGGCTTCCTCCCTGGGAATCAGTTGATAGAGATGCTAAGCCTGACTATGAACATTATGAGTTTATCTACAGACAGATGTGTAACTGCACACATTAGATTAAGAGAAGAAAACATGCTGATTTTTGTTTTAGACTACACATAATTTAGCTTTCTAAAACACAAAAACTGAAGGATTTCTCTCAATTATGCCACAAGGGTGTCTCTAGAAAAGCTGTACAAAAAATGAACTCATGTTCATGCATGAATTAAACTGACTTTATGAGCTCTATAGAGACATATTGACCTGTGGGGTTACCCTGGAAGCACATGAGCCAGGGCTCAGCCTAACACAAATGCCACCTGATGGCACAGTCAGGAGAGCAAGGTGGGCTGAGCAAGTGAGGCAGACCCGGCTGAGCAGACAGGCCCTGGGCAGTGACCCAAATATCTTCTCAGTCTCAGATGCTACCTGGGGACTGCTATGCTCTGGGCTGCCCTACTCTCTTACAGTCTGGAAAGTATCTATGGATACTGCTATGTTTGGATTTCAAGCCATTTTAAACATTCAGTTTAAATATTGGGTTGGGACAACAGCAGAAGTTCAGGATCAATACTTAAGTATATAACTAATAAAACCCATGGTGGAGGGGTCGGGGAGACTGGCCTCCTTTTTGGTTTGTAAGTAAAACTTAAGCTAGATCTGGGAAAAATGCCATACGGGGCACGAGAGTGAAGAAGCAAAGCAGAGAATGGGCTGCTCACTGGGCGAGACGTGTCAGGCTGGACTGGCCCCTGAAGTCTGGATGGCGCAAAGGGTAAGTACGCCAGGAAAGATTCCACAAAAAAGGACTCCACATCAGCAGAACAAAGACAAACACGAGCTCTTTTCTGACTCCCACCATGGAACTGTAACACCTGTAATACAAGGTGGTTTAAATACTGCTAAAAGAGCACATACAAAAACCATACCTTACTTGTCACCCCCTACAAGGACATACCCCATTTACAACTGTTTTAAAACCAGAACTGTTAACACATCTATCCAACAGTGATGTTTTCAAAAGTATGTACACCTAATAGTCCAGAGAATGCTTGCTCTGGACCCAGTGTCAGCACCATCAAAATGCAGTGTCTATCACTGCAAATCAGACAGAAATAAGATACAGTACTTTCTGAGGCCTAGGACTAGCATGATACACTTTAAAGCATTGTGGCAGACAGGCGTGTCCTCAAGGGACTTCCTTTTAGACAGGCACGAACTTGCCACTGGTTACATGTAAGTGCGTTCTGCATCACTGTACAGGTATATAATATTTCCTTCAGAAGATATTTAATTAAAATTTAATTAAAATGCCTCACAGAGTTTTACAAAAATTGCTAAAAAATTTTTTTTGCACTTTAATTTTTAACTCTTAAATGTGCTACTTTAAACATCAATTACAAACTACTTTCTGACTGCACTACTCAACCCTAAGGAAGAACTTGGTTTCAGGGATCACATCCCTCTGAAAGCATGCATTTCACGCAGAAATGCAGCATTACAAGCGCTACACGTATTAATTCTCCACTCAATAGTCACCAAAATTTGCAAGAGCCATGGGGCAGCCTGAAGCCTCAAACCCCATGGCATTAGCCACCAACAAAAGTATAATCTTGGTCCTACAGCTGGCATCAGCGTTATCTCAAGAGGCCGGGGTTAGAGCAAAGTGCTGGGAAGATTGCTGCTCTGCCAGCGCAGGCAGGTAGTCTTCGAGTGTTTATATAGGTGGCTGGATTGACTGAACCTCTTACCACACTTCAGGCAGGCATAGGGCTTTTCACCTGTGTGAACACGGATGTGCTTCTTGCAATCTGTCAAGGTCAGAAAAGTCTTGCAGCAAATTTTGCAAGCATACTTGCGAGCACCTTCTACAACCAAGACGTTGTGCTCCGATAAGGCCTTCTTGCACTTTGATAGGACGTCAGCAGATGCCCTGGTTAGCTGTGGAGGGCCAGGCTGCGAGGGATGGCTATTTTCAAATGAGGATGTGGTTGCATTCATCATCAGCTGAGAACTGGTTGAGTTTTCTGGGATCTGTGAGCTCCTGACAGAAGTCACAACTGGCATTTTGGGAGCTATGCGGCGGTAGTAGGGGAAGTTACTGGCACCTCCTCGTGGGGAGCCCATCATGACCCTAGAGAAGGAGGAGTGGAGGCCCAAACCAGCCCTGGAAAAATCCATCCCAAACTGTTCTCCTTGGTAGCCTGAAGTCTGCACACATGGCAGGCCCATCACGTCCTGCATGGGCCTAACGAAGTGGGAGTCTGCAGGCTCACTGAATGGGTTCTCCACATGAGCGCCCGGGGCTGCGGAGGGCCCGCCTGCAGGCCCAGCCTCTGGACTCAACAAATACGGGGCCTCCCCATCCAACCTGCAGTCGCTAGTGGTGTTTGGGATATTATCATCATTGTTCTGATTTGCACTGAAGTTACTTCCTCTGCTCTTATTAAGAAAATTTGAAATGCTAAAAGCAGATTTATGTTCTAGGTTATTTGTGACTTCCAGAATATGGATATCACCTACCCTGTCAGTGCTAGACTGGGGGTCTGAAAAACTCCGATCACTGCTTTCAGGGCTGAGGTCTATCTTCTCAGCGCTGACCACAACTCCTTCCACTTCCACGGATTCACTGCCTTCTGCTTGTGAGGTCACATCGCTAACTTCATCTTGAGGCTCAGGAGAGCTCAGAGGCTCAGATTTAACCACCACTCTCATGTGCTCCTTCTCACCAAGGCCAACCTCCGGATTCTCGCACTGAAAACCACTTTTCTCAGTTGCAGCTTCCTGCTCAAAACTAGTCTCAACCTGAGTTGCACGAGAGGCCATGGACAACTGGGCCATGTTGCCGGTGCTGTTGTCAGACTGGCTGGGCACCTGGGCATCTTCTTGAGCACCAAAAGACTGGTCAAACATGATGGCACCGTCTTCCTGGTTGTCAGTAATCCCGTCAGCCTTAGGGTTATCCACAATTTTCAGAGAATCTGGTGAAAAGAACTCCTCCCGAGGATGAACCCCTGACGGCCCGTTCTCTGGCGTAACATCAGAAATGGCAGACTCATCCATGGTGGGTCGGAGGCGCTGTCTGGCCCGCTCCTCTGCAGACTGCTTGCGCTTATGGAGGCGTCTCATGGGGAAGGGTGTCCGCTGGTCCAGGTTATTGCGCATTGCGGAGCTCATGGGGGCCGGTTGCTCTTCACCACTCTGGCTGGAATTGAGGGCCGAGCTCACAATGCTGAGTCCCAGCTGCTGCAGCATAAAGGAGCGCTGCATGCGGGCACTCTGCTCCTGGACGCGCTCACTGGGGGGGGACAGGGGCAGTGTCCTCGTTGTTAGGTAATATTTACAGGCCTTCACAACAGAGTTCAAATGCAAGTGAGAGGCTGCCAATAAGACATCC